TTACTGATCATAATTGAACCATAATTTGTGTTGTATTTTAATACTTGTCATTCTAGTGCATGTTTGCACTAACAAATGTTGTACAATTGTCTTACAGATTTCGGACAAAGTCCTGTCCAAACTGCATAGGTTGGACAAGCGGTTCCGTTCAGAGGTTAGACACCGCTTCACCAATTTTAGATGCATAACAATGTGTTATGTATTTTGTAAATTAATTTTCTGAACAGTGTTCAGTTACTTAATTGTTTATATTAATAGGAGGAGTTGATGTTACTTGATTGTTTATATTGATAGAAGGACTTGATGACACTGGAGAGCAGAGAGGTTTTATCAGCGGCCGAACACAAAGTTGTTGACTCTGTACTTGACGACAGAAAAAATGAAAGGTACGGATGAGTTTAGTACTTGTAATTAACCTGTTCCGTAGTATTTGTGAAATAAGTTTGAATTCCACAATTTTCATGTGTCGTGCTATGTTTATTTAATTCTTGTAGGTATCAGTTCTTTAATTTTTCATTCTCTATGATTTTGATGGGTTCATGATGGGTTTATCCATGTCGTATGTAGGATTCTCTTTGAATTTAATGCAGTGGGCTACGGAAAGATCAGTGGCTAAATTTCCTGTCTGAAGTTTTCTTCTTTTGGTCTTATCCTGCACACATGTACCTATTGGGAAAATTGCAAACCACTGATATTTTCACAAAAATATTTACAAATTCATGGAAACCTTTATAATTTTAATTATGAAACTTAATAAAGTTTACCAATGATTTGCAAATTTTTTTGAAAACTTATAATGAAGTGCAATTTTCCCTACCTTGCAATTTTTTTTGAAAACTTATACTGAAGTGCAATTTTCCGTAGCTATTTTCTTGTAGTCTGCTTACATTTTCCATTTTGATCATTTTCAGATATTGTTGCCTCCAGTTTGTAAAATACATGTGTTTTTTTTTAACTTGCTCACCTGTAAATGAGCATTTAAATTGTCACATATTATTTTAGCAAATACTATTGGATATGTCATAAATTGTAATATCTAAAGCTTTTTCTTTTAGTTTTGTTTTTTAAAAACTTAAAACTAATCTTTATTGGATTGGAGAGTAATAGAATCAGGAATATCTGCTATAGTTGTACAACAGAAAAAGCTAATCTTATGTTGTAGAGTTAAGCCAGATACGTTTAAATTTTACTAGGCTGTAGGTTGCTTCTTACTGGTTCATGTATACGTTTAATGTAGGGACATTGTCGTGTCTATGAATCTTCATGAAATGCCTTGCGAATGTGCTACGTGACGTGACATACGCATGCTTAAACCAGGGACATGGTTATCCGACACTATAAGTCGTGGCATCCGACAATGTTATTTCCACTATATTTGCATGATGGACATTTCCATGTAGGGACATTGTTATTTCGTATTACATTTAAACAAATTGCACACCTTATTTCGCAAGTTGCCTCATCTGTTATAATGTTCCAGCCAATCAACTTGGTCATGGTTCAATTGACTAACGGACATCGGCAAGTACACAAAGACGGGAGGCATACTGCGTGGTTCTTTCTAGTATATCTGTCGGTAAGTAAGTGTTTTAGGTCGGTTGTGTATTGTAGAAGACATATTTTCAGAAAACTTTGGCTGACTGAACTTTACACATCAAACATGTAGACTTTGATACTAAATCAAAAAACTCAACCTCTGAACCACGAAAATATCATCAAATCATATTTTGGACATGACAGATATACTGGGGTGCTTGATGCATGTCAAAAGGTAATATGAATGTCCATCCCATTGAAGCGAGTAGATTTAATATGAACGTCGGTAATATGAATGTCGATCCCATTTACATGAATGTCAATGTAAATATGAAAGTGCGTACATGTTCGCATGCCCTCTAAATAATGTCTTCACTTGTGTTTATGTATAGATTTACATGCCTTTCAATTATAGAGGACTACATTGGTTGTGCCTAAAAATAGATATGGTAGAGGGTGTGGCGTACCTATTTGACTCATTGGCATCCGCCACACTGGACACCAACAAGCTGAACGTGGCAAAAATGTTGGTATATCGTGCTGAATTTCACAAATCTACGTCTACACTGTCACATCCTTCACATAAACTAACTGTCTCATTCTGCAACAGGTTCAAACATTGCATGCCTTACTGCAACTACAGTTTGGAAATGAATATGATGTAGACGTGCGGACCTTTGACGTCCGCATGTTAGAAAAAAGGCCATTATAACAGCTGGACGAGTAATCCACAAACCCTGCGTCACATTGACTTCACTCCTGAATCACTCTTTTGACGAACCTGCTTATATTTACGAGAAACTGAATGTTACATTTCATTTGTAGCACTTTCGACTGTGGGATGTTTGTGATCAAGTACATGCAGCGGCCTGATATACCCAGCGGTCTACACAAGGTATATTCTACCGCTTCATTTCCAATTGCGAAATAAATCCATTTATTTCCTACCGCTGTAACTGTACCTGATTTGTGTTATTCACTTTCTCTACATAGTTTCATTCTTCTGTGCGTCGGAATTTGGTGCTTGACTTCGTTATGGATGTGAATAATTCAAAGATGAGCGAGTATCCTTTGTGCATGTGATTGATTGCAATTACAACAAATAGGGAAGCGATTTTATCATGGACTGCCAGTACGACGGTAATTTCCATGCCCAACCACAACTGGATTACTGCATCAGCTTGTCGTGACAACTTTTTAGGTCGCAGCTGTGATAATACTAATTCCAATGTTTGGGACTAGAACAAACGAGGGAAAATAGTAATGTTTGTTTGTTTTTGTCATGGCCTGTACGTAATGTGATACACATAATTCCAATGTTATGGGTACAGAACAAACAATGCAATGTGATATTTGCCAAATGAATATAGTAATGTTTGTCCAATGGAATGTGATATGTGTCCAACAAACAATGCAAGTTGAAAGTAGTAATGTTTGTTTGCTTTTACCACATGAATTATGTTTGTTCGATTTTTTTGAATGCCATAATTTTGTCCAAAACAAAGCAAAAAAAATCCCACTGAACAAACAAATAGCAGTGACTATAATACACCAACAAGGGTCCACCTGTCCACAGGAATTCATGTGGTAAACAAACTGTTGTAATTCTCCTATCGACCCACCTTACTATTATGTTTCCAATTGTCCCTGCACATTGTGGACTTCACATCTTCAAGTCAACCTCTGTATTCTGCCAATGACTGTTTCTGCAATCCACCCAGTTAGTCCATGCAATATCCTTGTAACTGCTGCACCATGTGGGCCCTCATGTGCAGTTAAACTAAACCCCTTTCATATGTGTAATTGATGGACTCTGACGCTGACTTTTGCACATGTCATGTTGTGGTTGATCCACGTGTGAACAGGCACAAACAAGTACAAATTTTAAAATGCAAACGTGCCACAAATTTTAAACTGCAAACAATGTCATGTTGCATACTGCATGGTTGTTTACGTCAGTTGTGTATTGTAGATGACATATTTTCAAAAATATTTGGCTGACTGACTTTACACGCTAAATATGCAGACTTTGATACTAAATCAAAACTACTAAACATCTGTACATGACAGACATACTAGTGTGAAGAAGTATGACATCCTTTACATAAACGAATCCTTGGAAGGGCAACCACATAGGAGATATATAAACGGAAGATATGTGAAGAATTATTATCCAACCATGTGGGAAACTTTGAAGGGGAGTTGATTACTTCATAACAATGCACAAATGGAGAAAAATTGCACAAAAATTAAAAAAAAAAAACTATACAACAGACCATTAAAAAACAGAGTATTGATATTCATTTTTTGTTTTGATCGCCAAAAGAAAAAATTTTATTCATGAAAAAGCACATACAAGGTGTGAATGATACATCAATAAATAGGAGCTTGGAGCTAAAAAAGGTCCAACCTCCTAGTTGGTCAGAGACCAACGAAGAGAAACAAAAGCAGAAGGAAAACAATAAGAATGTAACTCCAAGCCCATCCTCACAAAAACGCATAGCAGGGCAACCAGATGAAACTCCAAAGCAGCATGAACAAACTTCAGACCATACATGCACTGCAGCCCTACAACTCAAGCTACACAACCCAGGTCCTGCACTTCTGCACTGAATGGATATAACCAAACCAGGAAATCACCTAAAAACATACTGCTGCATCACACTACCAAGTATCACCCCATTTGAGTTTGAATTCACACAGATCACAGCAGACACCAGCTAGGAGCCTGATCCATTAGACCTGATCCAAACCTCACAGCAGCAGCCACCATTCAGACTTGAGCCTGATCTTTCAACCTCCAAAACTAAAAAATAATTACAGCAGCAGACCAACAATTACAACAAGGCCAGCAGCAGACCTTCAATAAATTTCCCCAATCCAGCAGCAGACCTCCAATACAGCACACTAAAACATCATTCCAACAATTGTAAAAAGGCCAATATGTAGCAGCAGACTTAAGCCTATTCGTTGATCCCATATAGCAACAGCAGAGTACATATATAGTAGAGTAGAGTTGAAGCACAGCAGAGCAGTAACCAGAAATGAGCATGCTTGACCCTATATACTAAGGCAGAGCAACAACCCAAAAATAAGGCAAAGCATAGCAAAATTGAAGCACAGCAGAGCAAAATTAGCCACCAAGAAGATCTGCTAATACCAGGTATACACCCACTTCCCCTTGCTTCCATCAGTATACCACAGATTGACCAAAATCCTGCACCCTTGCAGCAAAAAACACCAAACCCCCTCAATCAGACTTTGGTCCTATCCAGATTATTGACAATGTCCTCCACTAAATATTGTAGGCCTATAACTTTGCTTACACCAAAGTGCAACCTTCACTTTCACCATCTCAGTCAATTCAGGCCCATCAACAATCTTATCATTAAAAAGGCAATCATTCCTAGCTTTTCAAATCATTCCTAGCTGTGCAATACAAAAGAATACATATATAAACTAGCCTAGGATTTGGGAAAGAGAATGGCTAGAACACCCCATTCTGATTGAGCATCTGCCAACATGGCTTGGGTTTGGTCCAACTCTACTTTAGTTGCCTGAATTGATGCAAAACGATGTCTAATTTGGGAGAGCATCATCCTTGCTTCTTGATTAAGCTGGTCATATTGCTGCTGCAGATGAGCCTTTCTTTGCCGGACAGAGGCAAGTTCTGCCATGAGTTTGGTTTCCTCAAGTTCAAGTGCTGAGTGTTGCTGAAGAATGGCTACAGAGGTTTGTTGGCTGAGTTTGAGTGAAGTAGATATGGTGTGGGCTTCGTTTAGGAAATCTTTTTCGGTTTGAATATCCTTCGAGCAAGTCTGAACCATCTCTGAAATGGTTGGCCATTCCGTGATGATCTTGGCCAATTGCTTTAGTTGAATGGGGTTGAAAGGATTAGGGGAGAGGTTTAGAACAGCAGAAAGACAGGCCAAGGTTTCATCAGGTTTGTGGAGAATGATTTCTTCAACTGGGGTGTTAATGAGGTTGATGAAGGTGGTTAAGGTTTGTTGAGTTTCAGCATGAAAGAGATGTAGCCTTTGAGGCAATGGGGATATTTCGTCTAGATGTTATTGAAGAATAGAAAGTTCGGCCCAAATATCCTGACATGGAACGATGGCCTGTGAACATTAATAGTTTGGTGAGAATATATGCTTGCAAGTAATAAAGATTAAATAGGATGAGGTTGGAAATGGTAGTACCTGTCCTGATAATGTGCACGCAGACGGTTGGCCTTGTTCGGCTGTGGTTGTGGCAGCAGAAGGAGTTGTCTCGGGTACTGATGAAATGGTAGCATCAGTGCCTTCAGGCTTTTTTTCTGGTTCTGCTAACAGGGGAAAGTCATGAGGACCTTCAAGTTCTTTCTCAGACATTGGTTGTCGAGATGAGTCGCGTATAATGTCCATCCCTGTAAATTGGAGAACAATACCAGTTACTTAAAGAGAAGTTTGTTTTTTTCAAACAAACAGTCACATTTGTATTTCTATTTACCTTGGTTGTTATGAACTTCTGGTTGAGGGGAATTTGTATTGTCATCTATTAGAGAGGATTGGCTGTTGATTGAAATGTCAAAATCAATCCTCTCTGATTCTTTGTTTGAAGTTTGGGAATTAGAGGGGTTGGACGGTGATGGTTGAGGGCTAAAGACAGAAGGGACAATAACAGGCTCAGTGCCCCCTGGGTAATCAACCTCCATCGGGACAACCCCAACTGTGACATCCCTGAGAGCAATAGGAGGAGGTTCTAGCTGTGAAGGATTGTGTGATGCAGATTGTGTAGATTGCTGTGGCGAAGACTGTGAAGGAGGTTGTAAGGAAGTTTGTTGAGATGCTTCAGGTGGTGGTGGAGTTGGTTCTACAGTGGGTTCTCTGGGTACATTGGTGATGGTGATGGGACTAGGAATTGGATCAATGTGTTGAGGAGAAGTGGAAGGATGTTGCGCTGCAGATTGTGTAGATTGCTGTGGCAAAGACTGTGAAGCAGGTTGTAAGGAAGTTTGTTGAGATGCTTCAGGTGGTGGTGGAGTTGGTTGTGTAGTGGGTTCTCTGGGTACATTGCTGATGGGACTGGGAATTGCATGAATGTGTTGAGGAGAAGTGGAAGGATCCTCATCATCAGCAGTAGTAAGGAGTAATCTCCTTCTTTTTCTCTGCACAAAAGTAAGTGATCAGTCGGGCGTGAATGGAAATTGAGATGATGTAAATATGTGAAGTGAAGGCATACTTGGTAGAGCTGCCCTGAAGGATTTGATGTTGTTTGGCCAACCATTTGACTGAGAGGGATATCCCAATCACTTAGGTCTGTACTTAGAGCAGGACCAGTGGAAGACTCTTCTCTCTTCTTCGCCGTGACCTCTGTCTCGGCAGGGGTACGAGTGGTAGTTCCTCTCTGTGCTTGTCTCTGCGAGGCTGTGAAAGAGTCTACCATCAATTTCGGAATTGAGGGGGTGTTTGTCTGAGTAGTTCGATCCAATTGAGCCTTGCCTTTATGTTGGTCCCTAACCAATGGTTTAGCAGCAGGCCCAATTTTAGCTGTCAAAGGTCAAACAAGTTAGTGTTGTAGAAAAAAAAAATGCATGACAAAGTCAGGGATATGAAGTATATGAAGGAAGGATACCTGTAGCCTTAAGCTTGGAAGGCGAGGATATGGGGCCCTGATTATGAAGACAAGTATCGTGAAGGCATGTTTCAAGTGGCTTGCAGAAAATAATGGCAGTCATAAGTCCCCACCAATGGTCAAAAGCAATGGAGCAGTCCGAAGCAGGTTTGAAGAAGAAGGGGCCAAAATCTTGGAAAATTTTGGTGTTCTCTGTTAGAATGGATTCAGCTTGCTTAGGATCTTTGAAGTAGATTCTGGACCCAATCTCCTCATGGATGGTTGGGTGGAAATAAGGATAAGGGATACCCTGGGAAAGACCTAATTGCCTGGACCATTGATTGGGACAGTATGTCTCAAAACTGCAGTTGGACATCTTGCTGGAGGATATGGAACAACCAACCAAGACATGTCTAGACGTGAGAATGTGTCTCCAAGTCTCATTTTGTTCTTGGACTTGGTCATTGTGTAAATCAGAAGGGTCTGTAAAGAGGAAGCAAAGTCGACTGGAGGAGAATTCAAAGTTTTGAAATGGCATGTACAAGTTGGAAGGTCTCTTCGAAGGAAGGTTGTAAAACATGGTAAGATGATCTCTAAAAGTGAGGATGGGTTGGCTGTTATAAGTGAGCAATTGCTCAGCATACGAGTGGAAAACTAGTTTCAAGGTGTTAGCTGGTCAGGGTCGTGCCTCGGGGAAATAGGCATACAACCAGGCCTGGAAGAGCCAGAAGGGGCCACTACAGTTGCCAGAAATCTTCTTGTCGACAAAGGAAAATAGGGCCTTGTAAAGGGTGGCAAGAAGATAAGGGGCTAAAGCCATAAGTTGGCCATCTTGCATACACAAGGCAAGGGGGAGGTATTCTTTCGTGATCTTGTACCCAGGGACACAAAAAAGAAACTCACAAAGCCAAAGTAAGTAAAAAGCAGTTCTTTCTTTGTCATCGACAAGGGAACCACGCTTGCCTTGGTATTTTTTGGCAAAATCTGTATAGCACATGTCAGTGTTTAAAGTAAATGTCACTTTTGGAGGCTCAAGGAGAGCATGAATTGGATTGCCCAAGATTGGCAGACCAGTCAAGTGAGCTACATCTAAGATGGTAGGGGAAATCATACCAAAATTGAGGAGTAGGGAGTTACTAGACTGCGACCAAAAGCATGCAGCACTATTTACCTTGGTTGTGGTGAACTTCTGGTTGAGGGGATTTTGTGTTGTCATCTGTTGGAGAGGATTGGCTGTTGATTGAAATGTCAAATTCAATCCTCTCTGATTCTTTGTACAGAACAAACAAATAGCGGTGACTATAATGCCCTTTGAAGGGGAATTGATTACTTCATAAAAATGCACAAACGGTGAAAAATTGCACAAAAAATAAAAACAACCATACAACAGACCATTAAAAACACAGAGTATTGATATTCAATTTTTTTTTTTGT